GGGATGGGATGGGATGGGATGGGATGGGATGGGATGGGATGGGATGGGATGGGATGGGATGGGATGGGATGGGAGAACTTCTCCCCTTGAGGGTGATTCCCTGCTGGTAAAAGGAAATAAAGGCCCAACAAGAAAAGTGAAGATTGAAAGGATCAAGCCTTTGTTGGAACCCACATTCTGCTCCCACACTGTTCTCTCAGCATGGCCATTGCCAAACTCTGCCTTTCTCCACCTTCTCCTGCTGAAGTAAACATACATTSCAGGGTGGTTTTGGGTCACTCGAGATTCATTTTTCCCCATGTYGCAATGGGACAGCCAGAGCCCAAAGCAGATGCTTGTGTCCCCAAGAAGTACAGCTGTGGCTCCAGCYTGCTCTGCAGCCAGTATGCACAAAGGTTTATCATGAATCCTTCCCCAGGGCCGGGATAAAGCACAGACTAAACTGTTCCTTGCTTCAGCTCCCTTGGGATCCAGGGCACTAAATAAAGACAGGCCCAGGATTTCAACATGGCCCATGCAGGGCTGTGCTCAGGCAGCTGCTGACCTGGCTCGAGGCTGGCGTGAGCCTGGCAGAGCTGCCCTGTCCAGCCCTGCCACCCATGGGGGATGCTTACTTGGGTGTCACTGTGAAACATCCTTGCCCAGGGGCCAAAGCTTCTGCTCCAAATCCTTTCCAAGCCAGGCCATCCAGGCACTGTGCAGTTGTTGGGAGCTGGATCTGCATGGATGACGTGAGAGCAATTAAAGTGAGGATATGAGCAACTCGCAATGCTCTCATCCTACAAAAACCCAAACCAACATATTTCCATCCTTGAGAAGTGTCACTCAGCAAATCCTGTGAGTGGGAGGGGATGTAGTTCACACATGTGGGATATGTGGGGAGGGGAGGGCTCGGTCCCTGCCCACGCTGCTCTGCAAGGACACCGGGTTGTTGTCCCTGGCAAGGGGCTGCCACCCTGCCTGCAGGGGCACAGTCACTCTCGGATTCACCACTGTGTAATTCCCTTGTCCCAGAGATTTGTAGCCATGAAAAAAACACCCTGGGGGAGGGAGGAAGACCCCAGTGGGGTCTGGTCTCAGGCCAGGCACGAGCACCCACCCAGCCCTGGCTTTGGGATGGCAGTGCTGGCTGTGGGTGCTGCCCAGCCATGCACCGTGTCTTGTGCTGTGTTCAGCTCCATGAAGGTGAGTGACCCCAAAAATCCCCTGATGCTGACTGGGTGCACCCCTACGAGCTGCCGCCACACACTCCAGTAATCCTGGCCTTGCACTTTTCCAAGAGCACAAGCAGAAAGAGGCAGATACCCACTCCCAGCTGATTCCTAAATTCCTCTTTCAGACTGGACTGGTGGGGTGCTTCCCCTCCAGGGTTCCCAGGAATTCATGGGAATGGCAGCACCGTGCCCTAAATTCAGRCAGTATGTCCATGGTGAGAGCTGGGGAAGGAGAGCGTCCTGCAAAGCTGGGACCATGCAGCTCCCTCCATCCACAGTCCATCCCCTCAACACCAATGCACACAGCCAGGCTTGGGTTTGAATATCCCAGAGCACGATGTGGTTTCAGCTCTGGAAAGCTGGCTCCAAATCGGAGCCAGGGACCAGGGAATTGGCACCAGATGTGTTTGTGTTCCCTTTAAATGTGGGAGGCATCCCTCGCATCCCAGCAGAGCTGCAGTGCTGTACCTGCACCCTGCCTCACACCAGCACTGCCTCAGACYGGAGACAGCAGCTGCAGGGGACACCCCAGGGACAGGGAGGGACAGCATCCACAGGGGCTGGGCACAGTGCAGCACACAGCCACAAGCCAAATGTTTCTGTTAAAAATCCCCTTTGCAACACCCTCGAAGGATGCCTGGTTCCCCAGTTCCTGGTGTACTGGTTTGGGGGCTCTTGCTGGGGTRTATAGCTGGGAGCCCTCCTTGCTGGCAGACATGGCTGGGAACATGCAGCACAGGCAGGGAGCAGGCTCTTTGGGGTTTGCAATAATTGCTCCTCTTTTCTCTCCTCTCTGTTCCTGTGTGCACCTGCAGAGATCCCGGCTGCTCCCCCCACCACGGCCGCCAGCAGCACAGAGGAGCCCGCAGGTACGTTCTCTGCTTTTCATCTCGGTGCTAAATGTCTCTTCAGCAATCATTCCCCTCGAGATAAATTGCATTAAATACATAAATCCTGTTGTTTGTACCAGTACAATTGGTTTCCTTGCATGTCCAAATGTGTTGGAAACAAGCGTGGAGCATCCTGAGAGACTGGTGTYCCTCAGAGCAACTGGGAGGGCAGGGAAGGTGCAGGAGATTTTCCCAGAGGTGCTGACTCTGTGAGCACAGAGGGGTCACCCAGTGTTGTATCCATGTGGAACCACTTGATGGAAAAGAGGTAAGGACTTTGTGGTTACCTCCTCAAGAGGCTGGGAGAGCAGTTCCACTGAGTTTTCCCATGGAAAAGGGCCAGGCAACTAAAAATCCTCCAAAAGGAAAAAAAAAAACGTTATTACAGCTCACCACTGCATAGGAGCATTCCCGGTATTTGCTCAGATCTGTGTATTTCTTGTGCCAAGCAATMTGAGGTGCTGATGTGACCTGTGTATGTCACAGCAGTGTCCTCATGTCCTCAGGGTGGGGCACAGCTGTGGTTTGGGGCATTTTGGGGACACCTGTGTGGAGAGGTGTCTCGGTGCCAGGGAGAGCAGGARAAGCATCTCCATTCAGAGCAGGATTCCTGCAGGGACAGCAGAATGGCTCTGCTGGACTGGGATGACCGGATTGGTGGCAGCTGCAATCCAGGGGATTGTCCCCAAAAAGCTCTGGCACATCACAGGATCTCCGTCCTCCCGTTCCCTCTCCTTGTTCTTGTGCCAAACATCACCATCACCTCCCCCAGCAGCACTGTGCTGCACCCCACCATCCTCCCCTCCTGATTTACACCCCTACAGGGCCAGCACCTGCCCTCCACATCACCGAGGGTCTCCCCTGTCTCCAGTTGTCCTGGGTTGGATGGCTCTGAGCAGGGGACAGCAGGAGCCAGAGGGTCCCAGGAAAGGCTGACTTGTCCGGTCCCACTGCCTGGAGGTTCCCTTGGTATTTGAGCCCCAAGGCAAATGTGAAGGGCAAGAGGTGTGAAAGCTGTTTACTTTTGCCTCAGCAGTGCAGGAGGGTTCATAAATTAGGGAGTTCGTAATGAAAGTGATGGATGTCACCTCGGATTGACCCCTGAGCTGAGTCCCTGGCAGGGTTTGTCACCCAGGCTGTGTACTCACCAGCAGCCCCATGGGGGAAACCCAGGAAGCAAAGGGACAAGGCCTCCAGTCCCCAGTGCCACAGGAAGGTTGATCCCAGGGTTCTCCATAGGGCTGATTTAAAAGTCCAGTTCTGCCCCATGTACACAGAGCAATTCCACATCCTTGCCGTGGCAGAGGGGCTGTTTGGGGATCTAAAGCCCAGCTGAGTTCACACAAAGCTGAGAGCTGAGAGGATCCCAGCAGGGTCAGAGACTTCCCTTAGCTGAGGAGCCCTGTCTAGAGGCTGAAAGGGGGTCATCCATGTTCTGGGGGTGATGACAAATGCCTGGACAGGGTCTCATGGATCCCTGTGTCCCTGAAGGGCTGAATGTCCCCGCTCCCTGCCCGGAGGAGTGACCAGTCCATCCCTCCTGTGCCACCTCACAGTGAAAGCCCAGTGAAACCTGAGCCAAGTTGAGCAACCCAATGGGCCTGCCATCCCATCCTAATTCTTCTCACAGGGATTTTATTGGAGTTTTTGAGCACCGTTTTGCCTGAGGAGTTTGAACCCTCCCTATTTCATCCCTTTTCCTCATCAGGGAACTGTAATGGTACTGTGTCCTGGCACCCCTCAGCTCCAGCCTCTACCCTGCTGAAATTGTGAGGCTTTTTGGCCAATCCCTAAATCAGAGTGTCCACAAGCCAGAGCTCCATGGGAGCAAATCAGAGATGGAAAAAGCCGTCAGTGGGAGACTTTGAGTGCAGCCAGTGGTGGGAGAGGCACTGCTCAATATCCTGTACCCGTGGCCACGAGGGACAGAAAGTGGYCAAGAGCTGAGGGAGCATCACTCCCACCTGAGACACTGCAGAGGACACAGGCCAGAGCTGGCCTTGGAAAGAGGGGTGGGACAATGTCAGCTTTGGYGTGGGGGGTCCTGCCTGGATCTGCTTAACTCTCATGGGTCCCAATCARTTTGGGAAAACAGTTCAAAACTGAATTGTTTAGATGAAATGCATCCATGCTCTCCCATTCCAGGAGATTGGAGGATAATGAGGGRCTGCTCCTCATTTTTGCTGCCAGGCAAGAGGAGCCTTTTCAGGTCCTTTTTTGGTCCCTGTCTGAGAGAAGAGACCACAGTGAAGGGGCAAACAAAAATAGCAGTGGGGGTGAAGGTTTACAAACCTGCCAGTCACTCCCTGTCTTATCTGAATCAAATCCAGATTTACTCAGGAATTATTATCTGAGGTGGATGATTTCAGCCAGCAAGCTTAAATAAAACCAGGTGATTGGACTGATGCAACTCACATGGTTTTCCCTTGGAAATCAACGTCTGCAGTTTCGAAACCAGATCTGACCCTTCCAAATGTCATTTTGGGCTCTTTTGTTCCAGGATGGTGAGGAAGGGGCTGGATATAAATGCAGGGAAGGGAAAAGCCCATTCTGMGTGATCCCTGGGGCTCCCCCAGGGTGCACAGACCCAGAGCAGCTCTGGYTGTTGGGTGCAGCCTTCCCAGAGGGCACAGGAGACCCAGTGTAGAGCTGGTTGCATGCTATGGGATCCAAATTTTAGCCAGAATCCTCTCCCAGGAGCCAGAAATGGGAAAAATTGGCCTCCATAATGCGCTGAACTCCTGTTTCAGCATCATTTGCAGGCAGTCAGGGTATTTCTGCCCTGAAAAAGGGTGGTTTTTCTTTTGTCTCAATGACTAAAGCTGCAATTTTTKCCTGTCCATGCCCAGRCTGAGGTGAYYCTCCCAGAGTTTCACACTCCCAGGTCCATTCCACCACTCCTGGGACACATCCAGGGTGAGCAGCAGCAATGGGCTCCTCCACCCCCAGCAGCAGGGTAAAATGCAGATTTCAGTGGGTGGCCACAGGCTCACAGCCCATTGCCATGGATAGACAAGGAGGAAAAAGGGGTCCTKTGGGTGGGCTGCCCCCAGCACCTGCATCACCCAGGGAATCCCCTGGATTAACCCCCCCTGCTCCCAMTGCAGGGGCTCAGACAGCTGAGAGCCACCTCATTTCCAGCCTGCCAACCCTCCTGTACCTGCACATCCTTTGTGGGGCCTTTTTTTGGCACAGCAGCTGCACCCCCCAGCAGAGCCTGAGGCCWMCTGTCCCCAGCCCACGGCCACACCWACACTGTGACTTCCACTGCAGCAAAAGCTCCGAGGCAAAAGTGACAGTAGGAAAGGATTAAATATCCCACAGTAGGAAAGGATTAAATATCCCACAGCTCCTCTTTGTGAGCTGCAGCGGGTGGAAATGAGGAGTCACCCCTGTGAGCCTCCAGCTGCCTCCACATGTACAAGGGTGCCAGGCTTGCTTGGAAATGACAGTGTGGGGACAGGAGTACAGGAGCCAGCCTGAGTTTTCCTTCGGATTGGAAGCAGGGAGCTGTCCCAGCCATCCCCCAGCACTGATATTCCCTGAGCAGGAGTGTGTGTGTGTGATCAGCAGGGCTGGAGCTGGGAACAGGGCTCAGCCTCATCCCTGAAGGGCTCCTGGCTCGGGGGAGCTGCCAGGCTGGGGCTGTCCTTGGGGAGGATGCTCCAAATCCAGGGATGGAGGGACTTGAGGGAGAAAAGCCCGAGCCTTTGGCCCTGAGGAAGTGTCAGCCCTGGAGAGCCGGGAGCATCCCACAGCCCAKGAATAAAGGGCTGCCTGGCTCCCTGCCGTGCAGTCGGGAGGGGAAATCGTCATTTCATTCAGCCCGGGGTAAATCTGGGCCCAGCCTGGGGCTCTCCAGCTTTGTACCCATCCCCCACTGAAAGGAGGAATTCATTCAGCTCTGCACGGGCATTCTCTGCCTTGTCTGGGCTGTAAGCGAGGTGATGGATGGACTGTGTGATTGACTGATTGATCAGCAGCTTCCAGCTGCCTCTGAAAGGAGGATTCTTACGGTGATCCCCCGTGTAAGGCTGGCAGCACAATAGGAGAGAGGGGCTTCCAGTGAGGGAGATCCTGGCCACTTCTAAACAGCTCAGAAAGTCTGGGGGGAAAACCTAAAACACCCCCCAAAACTGCTGGAATGCCGATCAGCTTCCTGCACAACTGMACCGTGCTCTAATCATCCCAGTGCAGGGCTGCTGCAGCCCCACATCCATTCATTCCTCCATCCCTGCATCCCTCTACTCCCAAATCCCTGCACTCCTCCAACCCCACATCCCAAAACCAAATTCCTTCCACCCTTAAATCCTTCCATCCCTCCAACTCCACATCCCTGCATCTGATTCCCTCCACCCCTAAATGCCTCCATTCCTCCACCTCCTTWTTCTTTCATTCCCATATCCCTTCATCCCTACAACCCTTTATCCACACATCCTCCATCCTTCCATCCCCATACCCCTTTATCCCCATCTCCCTCCATTCCTGCATCACTCCACCCCCAAACCCCTCCATTCTTCCATCCCCATATTCCTTCATCCCCCTATACCTCCATTCCTGCAACCCTTCATTGCCACATCCCTTCATCTCTCCATTCCTCCATCCCACATCCTTCCATCCCCACATTCCTTCATCTCTCCATTCCTCCATCCCACATCCCTCTATTCCCATATCCCTTCATCTCTCCATTCCTCCCTCCCACATCCCTCTATTCCCATATACCTTCATCTCTCCGTTCCTCCATCTCACATCCCTCCATCCCCACATTCCTGGCTTCCCATAAACTCTGGACACCATAGCCAAGGCCTCAGCTTCAGAGCCAGGACTGGCGAGCTCAGCACCACTGTCAAACACATCTGAAAATTCATGATGACGATTTTGAAGTGAAAGAAACTGATCTTCTCTCCATCCTGGGACATTTCCAGAGGCTGATTCCCCCTGGTGACACAAAGTTCTTGTCTCCAGCAACAGATCCCTGT